TATATATATATATAATTCTTTGGAGCGTAACTTTCGGGAAAGCGTCAAAACAAGGATCAGCTAGAGATGGTATAAGCCAGTTTGGTGTAGAACTTTATTCTATATGTGAAACTTTCGGTGATATGTTGTCACCTTCATCAGCACCTAAATGGAAAGCCTATTTTAGTACAAGTGGTGGAAATCAACATTTAAAAACCTACATTGAAAATGTTCAGTTGGTCCTAGTGGTGAAGAATACTGTCACAAACATGTTAAAAATATTAAAAAATACATTTAAAACTTTGAATAAAAACATTACAACACAACAGGGTATTTTTTCAAATACAAACACAACAAAAAAATCTAAAATTTAAAAACTGCAACTTCATGTTAAAAGGTAGAAAAGAAGAATTATTCTTCTTTTTTGATGACATATTTCTGATTTCTGTCAATATCCGGGTGTCATATGTAACGAGGTTATAATTTTCACGTTTGCACCTCATGGATATGGAAAGAAAAAACCCAAGGAAACATAATCAGCAGGGAAATGAAGTCTTTTCTCAAGTACAGGTAGGTAATCTATGCATGTTATGATAAGTTCCCTACATTCTCCAGTTTGTTACATCTTGTCAAGTCCTGTTGAAGTAGAAAGGAATAAATACAACTTAAGTTTTCAACATCTTTCTTACAGTTCATAGAAGAGCTGCAGTTATGGATGTAGCACATTTCTATGAAGTTTCTCTTAAATTGGTTGTCAACCCTCTTTAGTACTTGCACATTTTCATAGTTAGCAATGTGTCCAGTATTCTTAATATGTTGGCTAAAGGCTGTGCAGGTGGGCTTCCTCACTACATCACTCTTGTGCAAAGCTATTCTTTTTGAGAGTTTCTGGCTGGTTTGACCGACATACACTTCTGAACAAGAACCACATGGAATAGAATACACTACATTAAAGTTATCCAGTTTTTTAACTCTTTCTGTCAGGTGAGCAAAGTATGTCCCTAATCTTTTGTACACTGAATTTGCTATCACTATGTTGAACTGTCTGAAAAGGTTTGTGATCTGTGGTGATAAACCTCTGATGTAAGGCAATCTCCCATAGAAAACTTCTACTGTTTCTCCTTCTAATGTTTGTCTTTGGTGTGTTCTAACTGTTGGCATATCTTGGAATAGCAGTTTATTAAGAAGCATCTTAGGGTAGTGATTTTTTCTAAGAATCTCATACAATAACTTGATGTTCTTATTGTAGTTAGAAGGGTGACAAATTCTTTTTATTCTGTTTTTCAGACCTTTGATGATGTTAATCTTCTGCTCGTCTGGGTGATACGAGTGAAAAGGCACATATCTACCTGAGAATGTTTTCTTTCTGTACCAATCCAACCTTACTGTGTTGTCCTCATGTCTGGTTACATAGGTGTCGAGGAATGGAACACTATTATTTTCTTCTGTTTCAACAGTGAATTGTAGGTGAGTGTTATATGAATTGAAAATATCAAGAGTGTAGTTGATTTTGTCTGCAGGGACTGCACATATGAGGTCGTCTACATATTGGTAAATGAAGGGGAACTGGAAATCAACTTCTTGAGTACAGTAGTGAAGTAGGGAGTTCATTACAATTTCTGCCAAAGTTGGGGATATAGCTCCACCCATGGGTGCTCCTTTTATTTGGACATAGAATTCATTTTGAAAAGTGAAATATGTATTGTTGTATAAAAAGGTAATCAGTTTCAGGAACAAAACTTTGGGAATTGTACAGTTCTGTTCAATAAGATGGTAATTAGTTGTCAGAATAGAAACTACCAGTTCAAGAGGGATGTTGGTAAACAAGGAAGTAACATCAAAACTCACCAAGACATATCCTGAAGGTAGTAAAAACCCATTGATCTTATTTGCAAATTCAAAAGAATCTTTAATTTTGTAGGTATTATGAGAAGAAAAAGAAGTGTCAATAATACCTGCCAGATATTTAGCCAAGGATTGAGTGGGGGCATTCTTACAAGCAATTATAGGACGTAGAGGGCACCCTTCTTTGTGAATTTTTGGAAGTCCATAGTATGTTGGGGTGGTACCGGTGTAGTTGGTTAATTCTTTTTTTGTTTTGTTGGTAATATATCCTTCTTCATGTAGTTGTTTTATTAGTAAGTTGGTGTTTCTTTCTACTGATGGAGTCAGATCTTTGGGGATTTTTTTATAGGAATGTGGGTCATTGAGAAGTTCAAATGATTTGGTGATGTACTCGTTTCTGTCCATTATGACTGTAGTGTTACCTTTGTCTGCTCTTGTTACTATAATATCAGGGTTGTCTTTCAGAAATTTTCTCGTTTTTGTTTCAATGGCCATGGATGGACTGATGTAATAACGGTTGGTTTTGATGTGGTTGGTAATGATATTCGTGATTTTTGAACGTTGCAAATTCTGTGAATCTGTAGGGAGTTTCTTAATACAGTACTCAATGTCTGCTAGATATGTGTACATGTCAATATCTTTCACTGAGATTGGTAGTGAAAATTTTGGACCTAGTGATAGAAAAGATTTTATGTCTTGAGGCAAAGTCACTTTGGATTGATTTACCAACCATGCATTTTCATTTGTAGTTGTGAGTGAAGCTAAAGGATCTTTAAGTTGGTTAAGTTTTGAGATGTTGCTTCTTTTTATACAGTTGAATATTCTTTTATATCTTTTGTCCTGTAGTCTCAGGAAATCGGACATCATGTTGTAAGAGAGTTTGCTATTAAGATACTCTATTGATTTATCTATGTTTATCTGTAAATTTCTGATTTTTGTGTTAGTTTCATTAATAGTGATGTTTAGAATCCTCTTTGTTACAAGATTTCTTAAGTATGATATTTTTCTTGTATTTTTATTTTCTGTATTTTCAGGTATTGGGAGGATCCTTTCTGTACCCTGTTGTTAAAATCTAGGAATTATGTTGTTTCTCCTGCATTCGTACAGAAAGATGAGCCTGTTCTTTGCTGAAGCCATTTTTGTTAGTGATGACATGTAAGTTTTCGCATGTTTAACTCCAGTGTTACCGTCAATGTTCTTTATCTGTTGTAGGAATCCCATTTTTGTAGTCAATTATTGTAAATAGAGTGTGTATAATGACGCTAAGAATACAATTCTTTGGAGGGTAACTTTCGGGAAAGCGTCAAAACAAGGATCAGCTAGAGATGGTATAAGCCAGTTTGATGTAGAACTTTATTCTAAATGTGAAATTTTCGGTGATATGTTGTCACCTTCTGTTGGATCCTTTCTGTACCCTGTTGTAAAAATCTAGGAATTATGTTGTTTCTCCTGCATTCGTACAGGAAGATGAGCCTGTTCTTTGCTGAAGCCATTTTTGTGATGACATGTAAGTTTTCGCATGGGTAACTCCAGTGTTACCGTCAATGTTCTTTATCTGTTGTAGGAATCCCATTTTTGCAGTCAATTATTGTAAATAGAGTGTGTATAACGACGCTAAGAATACAATTCTTTGGAGGGTAACTTTCGGGAAAGCGTCAAAACAAGGATCAGCTAGAGATGGTATAAGCCAGTTTGGTGTAGAACTTTATTCTAAATGTGAAATTTTCGGTGATATGTTATATATATATAAATATATATATATATATATATATATATATATATATATATATATATATATATACATACATTTATATATAATTATTAATATGTCGTGACTCGTCACTGTTAAATTATCTAAATTTGAAAATTTTTAGGAATGCATATGTAGGTCCTATAAATACGTCATCAGAACTAACGTTTATTAATTTGGTTTTCAAACATTGCGCAATATTGCACACTATTGCGAATATTTGCCGATACGCTCTATTTGGGGCATTGTCTTGAAAAAGACAATGCCTGAAGGTTTATTTATGTATGGATAAATAAAACACACATTCTGAGTAGAAAAAAACTCAGCTTTAGATTCTTAAGAAAATTGCAGAGTCCTTCAAGTGAGGAGCTCTGAGGCTACCCGCTAAGGGTAAAACCGCACTGACTAAAGATCCGAAAATGTCCCATATTTAAAGTAAATTTAACTTTTGTATGAAACTTTTTCATTTCTCAACCAATTGAATTTAATTAAAAGTTCCAGAAGGAAGGACGATGTACATCGAGGCACGTGATTGGTGGTGCCCGATGACATCCCCCCGCTTTGGAGACTCTGAGGCTGATAAAAAAAGCTGATTTTATTAAAACCTTAAAAAAACAATATTTTTACAAGTCGAAAAATAAACTAAATAAATGCATAAAAATGGGTAAAAATATGTCCATATTGTCATTATTGTCGTTTACTTACAGTTCCTAAAACACATCACTACACTGCACAAAACACTCACAGGCGGTGGTCGGTGTTGTGGACAGCATCTGTAGGTCCATCCTCGGTGATGTGCCATCTTGATGGCAGAGATCAAGATGTCGCCTACTTTTAAATGGAGAGTGTTCTGCAATAATAGTCTAAGCCACATATATATGGTTTCGAGTAAATGAGCATAATGTATCTACCTACTTTAAAAAATTAACTGATAGAAAATAAGGCTTTATTTTCACATTTTTATATTTCAATAATTACAGGCTACCTTAAAAAACGTACAAAAGCAAAATAAGTAATAACAGTTTTTTGCAAAAATAACTTAAAGCGGCTTAGACGGTTTTTGCAAAATGGTAAAAATATAAGTTCGTCATTTTGCAATAACCGTCTATCCCTCCAAAATAATAAATACACAGAAAAAACTTCGAAACCGAGTTCATTACAAACAGTAAGTACCTGTTACTGTTTAATTTCTACTCGATTTGATCTTGGTCAATCTCGAAATCGGGATTTAACCCAATTCCTTCCAAATCTTCTTCAAAATTTTCATAGCTGATGTTGTCCAAAAATCCATAAAAAGGCATGGCATCTTGGGGAATTAACTTAGACAAATCTTTAAGGTCCTTAATTTTTTCAGCGGACAGTGATTTGCCATTTGGCCACAAGGGAGGCAACTCTACATTCTTTAAAACAGGTTTTCGACCTTTACCTGATTTTTCAATATTTACCTCCGAAAATTGTTGATCTCTCACATGTTTTTTCATGTACAAAATTGTGGGATTTTCCTTTGTAGTATGTATTACATGTGTTTTTAGCCAATTAATAACATCCTTATTTATATCTGTTTTGCGATTTGTTATGGATTGTAGCAAAAGACTAACTGAAACCATTTCTTCAGATCTTAGACGGTTTACAACAAATTTATTTTTTACTCGGCAAGATCTCATTATTTCTATGTAATCGTTGTCAGTGTACAGTCTTTGATGAGTTTTAAGAGCGCATTCGACATCTCCGAAATGTGAATCATTAGGCAAATAGATTTCCATATCCTCTTGGTCTCTCGTTTCTTCTGCAGAATCAGTTTCCTCGGATTCAGGAAAATATTCACTGCCAGAGGACTGGTATGGCTTATAAAAATCCATTTCAATAGATATATTTTTCTGAGTGCTACAGGAACCACTTGTTTCTTGTTCTCGAGGATCAGGGGTCAAAGTTTGTTGAAATTTTTGAATTCCCAGGTTCGCTAATAGCTTTCCTATTGAAATATTCATCGTCTAAAATAAAATTAGAGTATTAGGCACTCACTTAAAACATCCAGTTTTAATATGTTATTACGAAGTAAAAATGTTACATTTATAAAACATTTTTTACAAATGCAATAAAAAATAAATTTTGTGTTATAGTGCAGTTAGCAAAAAAGATCTAACCCCACTACACGACTAACGTAGCTAATGTTAAACTTGATATATTTATATTTCTGTTATGTGCAAGTATTATAATATGAGCAGCTATCATACATCCAAATTAGTTTAACTGCCGTTTGCTGTTAATATTAAATAAAAGGTTTTAATAAATAAAAATTTATATCTACTGTGAAATTTTAAGTCAAAATAAGTTTATACGTACATCGAATAATAAAAATTATAGTCACTGAAGTAAGAACACCAAGTTTGTGGTATTTTGCTTTAAAATATTACACCCAAATAATAACAACCTACTGCACTCGTAAAGTTTAAAACAGTATGTTGAAATATCAAACTCCTTTGTTAAAAAGGCATGTAATAATTTGCTGACCAGAATTTTCACAATCAAGCAACAGTTCCAATATGTTCGTTATATGATAATGCAACTTTTTGTCGGCATTTATGACATCAATATACGAGTAATCGCAAAACATATTATGTTACCTTTTCGGTACACTATCTGTGATAAAAGGAATTTAAAAATGTCTTTAATCAATTTCCGAGCTGACGACACAGAAAATTCACAGTTTTAAATAATATGCTTTCGTATTTTACCATTAAAGATAAGGCCTCTAGTTTGGTGCAATAATAAATTTCTTGTCTTTTAATAAGACGAGTCTAAGTCAAAATAAATATTTGTTTATTAATTTAATATTTTGCGTCTGTTGCACACAATGAAAAGACCCTTACAAAGATTTGCAACAAAAGTCTAACCCACATATTTATAATGAAAACATGGGTTAGACTATTTTTACAAATTTCTGTTTTCATATTATTTGACGAAAGTGGTTTAGAACTTAGTTCACAAACGCATCCATGAGTTTAAATATGGCTTATATCATTTTTGATTGATGTAGTATGCGTTATGATCGACAATTTGGCACGTCTAACCTCATTTGTAAACAAATGTGGGTTAGACGGTTGTTGCAAAACACCGTCCAAATTATTCTAATGATCTGGATGACGCGTCACTATCATCAAGGTTTATAACAAGTGGTTCAACATGGCTTTCGATTATATTGTCCAGCCGCTACATTTCCTTTTCTACTTTTTCTTTAACATGTAAAATACAGTTCTGCCATGTTTGTGGTGTAATTGATGAAATTGAATTATGAAATACATTCTTGACATCTGAAAATTTAAAAGTGGTGTTCTTTCCTGCGACATCATTTTTAATATTTCCCCAGATGAGTTCTATGGGGTTTAACTCATAGTGATACGGAGGAAGCCCAGTACCACTTTATTTTGTGATTTTGCCATTTCATCAATTACGTACTTATCATAAGAATGTTTATGTTTTTTTACGATCAAAAGAAGCTGTATTTTAATCATTTGTTCATCGAAATTTATATTTTTGGAACGGAGCCAATTCTGGATATCGCTTTTTTTTAGATGAACTGGTTGGAATTTTCTCTATTTTACGAGAATGGTATGATGCGTTGTCGAGAACAATGATCGATTTGTTGTCTAATATGGGTAAGACATTGGAAAACCAATTTTCAAAAGATAGACCTGTCATCTCTTCATGGTAATCACTAGACTTATTTGACTCAAATGCCCAGAGTGCATTTGGAACAAACCCATCATTGCTACCAATGTGACAAATAATGAGTCTTTTGCCTTTTCCCTAAAATTTAAAGTAATTATTCAACGAGCATGCTATTATGGCTATTACTTACGATGATGAAGTTTGCGATAAGAGCCGAGGGCAATTGTCGTAATTCTTCAGAGTGAGTAGTAGCCATTAAATGCGAGTAGAATACTATACTTTTTCTACGAATTTTTTTTTATTTTAATTAGTAAAAAAATATAATTATCAACTACTCGAGATTAAAATTATAATTTACAAAAATAAATGTTGTTTACCAACGGTACGCGGCTAAATAATTGGTTGCCTGCTATTATTAAATGCTGTCGTATGTATTGTAAAATACAACAAGAAATAGTAAATTCAAGTTCTATTCGCTTCCGAAAAATTATAAGCACAAATGCATGGGAAACTTTATGAGCACTGAATATTATGATAATTATCAAAATTCATAGTAAACAAAGTATAGTTAAACGTAAAAATTATACTGACCCATTGTTACTATAGTCCCTTTTAAGTACTTTTACTTTTCAGTGTCAGGAATATAAAACTTGTCGGGGATATAAATTACAATCATTGTTGTATTAAATAAACGATTTTAAGTAATGTTATTTAAAATTTATATAAGACTAATATATTAACAGTTACATGCACCACTTGAACCTAACTTCAATCCGTGAGTAATGACCCATGAGTAATGAACTATTACTCACGGGATAAGTAGGTAATGGATGTTATTATCTATTTAAAACTAGTAAATAATAAGCATGTTATTAAAGGGCCGTAGAAAAAAAAGTATTTAAGTTTTGAAATTTAAAATATGTAGAATGTAATAAATTACCTGAAGGATTTTTTAATCCCGTTGTTAAACCATCCAAAAAAGCTTGTCTGGATGTTTTTACTGTATTGTCTACCCATATTTTAGACTTTGTATGGCCAGCGTTCAACCATGTCTCATCCAGATAATATATTTTCCGCTTCTCCTCTCTATAAGTTCTTATCTTTTGAAGATATTCTCTTCGCCACATCACAATGTCATCTCTATCTAGTAAAAGAGCGTATCTTCCGCTACGTTTATATTGAAAATTAAGTTTTTTTAATAATCGGTAAAACGAGGTTTTCGAAAAATTTGGCAAATCAGGGTCATTGTTCACCTTCTTTAATACCTTATCAACAATGGGTATTTTGTTGCTCATAAAAAAATTATGAACCACTCTTCTAATCGCATTTTTGTCAAAATCATCAATTTTATCAAATTTCTTTTTACGGTCCAGCGAATTGATGATACGTTTTGTATTCCTTGTTCACCGTAAACACACTTCTATCATAAACTCCAACTGTATTGGCCACTTTTTTCACAATAGCTTCAACTACTAACTCGGGATTTTCTTGTATTTCGCATTTAAAAACATTTAAAATGATTTCTGTCACTTCAACGCTAAGAGGGCTTTTTTTATTTCGTTTAATAATAACTTCTAAACCTGCAAAGGGTCTGTACTATCTCCAATTTTAGCTGCAGGGCGTAATCCAGGTAACTGTAAAACTATATTCTGCTGTGGACGACGGCCTCTATTTGAAGTGGGAGGATTTTTTGACCATTTGCATCTATTTCTACCATAGAAATAATTCCCTGTCTCCTCTGGATCGTCTTCTTCACTGCTTTGGTCAACATTATCTTTTCTACAAGCCTGTTCTACCTCATTTTCATTTTCTGAAACTAAAAAGAGAACTTTAGGTAATGGTATACTATGCGGTCTGCCGTCGTGTTTCTACTATAGCTTACGGTCTACCCAGGGATGCGGTGTATACCCTGTATTCACCAAAAAAAATCTTTACAAAGTGAACAAAACGCATAAATCATAAGAATTTCTATTTTAATTTTACATATCAATACTTTCAATAAATAATTCTTCAACATTATCCGTTTTATTCACTTCGTAAAGATTGTTTTTTTTGGTATTGTATACATGTGTTGCTAATCACCATATTCTTTTCTCAGAAGGGTTTGCAAACAATAATGAAAGGCACCATTGTAGACGAACTGTTTATTGCTAAGTACAATAAACATTTATACTACTATTATTTAGGAATATAAAATAAACTACGCAAATTTATTTTCTTTTCTAATATGCAAATAACACCCTAATATTTTCCCAGGGTATGCACAAATATGAACCCCTCTTTTCAAATAACATGGCAAGGTAGATTTACTTTCATTTCATTTTACATTGATTTTGCTCCAAAATAAATGTAAAATAGTTGTTTAAATGTAAAATAATTCCAAGAGATTTGACTTACCCTCTATTTCCGATTCCCTTTCGTGATCGCTGTCAATAGCAACATTTCCATCACAAATTGATTCAAATTCGCTTATGTCGTCATCTACGTCATCAAGCCATTTCAAAAGCGTTTCCTCATAGTTTTTATCCCCATATTTGACCTTTTTTGACGTACTGGGTCCCTCATCCATTTTCAGATAAATAGTAAATAAATACGAACACTAACAACCCGTCTATCAGACGGAAATCACACTTTGAATCTAAATATCTTTAGAATAACAACCTGCAGCAAACTGCCGATCTCAATACTAATAAATAACAACCCAACTTGAAAAGTCAGGAACATGCGACCTTCAAAATTTTTTAGGTAGGGAGATATCCCACTTTCGACAAGCGATGCCGTCTGAGAGACGGGGCGTTAGTACTTAAGGCTTAATATCTAAATTTAAAACTATTACTACTATTAACTTTTTTACTCTGTTTTTTTAATTATATTAATTTAATTTCTAATTAAACATCACAAGTATGCTGCCTATTGTTAGAGAACATTTACTGCAAATTCAAAGAAGGGAAGAAAATCTTGCATTGGTTCGTAAACGTGAACAACTTAGACGAAATCAGGAACCATTTGAACTGCCTGAAAAATATTTATAGAGTTATTCAGACTCTCTAAGGACTTAGCATCAATACTCATCCAACTTGTAAGTCATAATGTAGCAGAGAGAAAAGTAGCTAGAGGAATTACTGTAGAAAGTATGGTTCTTGGTAGTTTACGTTTCTACGCAACAGGGTCATATCAAATGTGTTTGGGCGAAGAGTTTAATTTTGGTATAGCCCAGAGCACTGTTCATAAGTATGTCCATCTAATAACTCACATTTTAAATAAACATTTTGTTCCTCAGAAAATAACATTTCCCACAAGTCAAGAAGAACGGGATGTTTTAATAAATGATTTTTTAAGGAAATGGGGATTTCCTGGCTGCATTGGGGCACAAATTATTTGTGACACTCAATTAAAAGTTAGAAGTGTATTTGCAAATTTTGGTGGTAGTACTCATGACAGCTTTATATGGAGGAATTCAACTGTCAATACATATCGTCCGTTCGGATGAAAACTGTACAATCTCAAAATTTACAAACTTTTCAGGAGAACATTTTTAAGATTTAACGGTAAATAATATTTTCCACAATAAACATTAGCAGGTTTTTGTTTTAGCTTGTATTGGTTGTATCCTTTCTGTGTTAAAAAAACATGAAAATATTTCAACCGTATGAATAGTAATAATAAAAAAAAAATTTTTAAATAAGATGTTTTGAATTTTGCTACTTTTTCAGAGAAAATATTATTAATTTTCATTATTATACAGATGTTTGAAAAGTACTATTATGATAAAATAGGCTTTGTCCAATGAAAAATTAGGATTATAAGCAAATTTTTATTCTCAAAAATATTATAACAAATAGTAATATGACACAAACGTAAGAATTTACAACATACAAAAAAATTTAACCTTACAATGAACTTAGAAATGAGTGTACCGAAGGCAAAACTCTTTATCTAACAAAATCACATTTACTATTAAATACAAACAATCAATTAAAGTAAAAACAAATTAAAAGGAATGGGAAAGTTTTTCAAAGATTTTCATAGAATCCAAGATAATAATCAGGAATGGTTTTCTTTTGCAGTAAACCCAATAAACCATTTTTCTTCTGCTGTGAAATTGTAATAGGTACGTGGTATATTGATTTAAATAGTTTTCTCTTAGAGCTTTTGAATTACCAGATGCAACTTTTATCATTTTAAAATGTTCTTGACTGTATGAAGTCTTATAAAAAAAACTGCCACGATTAGCTTTTGTAACTTGTAAAATTTTTATATCAATCATTTTAACAGTTTCATTTTTCGTGTTTTTAGAAAAGTTACACCCTAGTTCCTTAGCAAGAGTCTTAAAACGTTAAATTGATCGTAAGTAAATTCAGTAAATTTGTAATGATTACCTGATTTCTGGGCTGTCCTTATTAAAAAACGTATTGATCAGGAGTATATATAGGTCCAGATTTAAGGGCTTTTTTAATGTTTCTCTTAATTACAGAATGAGTAGAATCATTTTCATTTTGAGTATGCACTTTAATGAGAAATTTGTGAGTAACTGAATTAAGAGTAGGAATTACTACCATAGCATGAATGTACATACTTATTAAAAACTTGTTTTTTTGCTGACCTGTGCAGTTATCACTGTAAAAAATGATGTCTTTATCTTCATTTGCACTTGCAGATAACTAGTGGATATGCTTTAAAATGCATATGGCTATCTCGTTAGCTTCTCTGTGGCCTTGCCCTTCATGCCAGAAAAAACACTCATCTTTTGTTTTTAAATCGAAGCTGGTAAAATTTTAAGCATTTAATTTCTAGACGTAATAAAAAATAAAATTTTGCCTTTTGAACAAGGCAATGATGCTTGAAGGTCATAAACAGCAACGATTAGTGATGATCTACACTGAGCTTTGTTTTTGTCTTTTTCTAACCGTGATAATTCTTTTTCGTTTATGTGATCTTCGTATACCTTTCTCATTACTTCTTTTTCAGTTCCAACAGCATAACTGTAGGCAGTATAATCTTCACACGCGTCTTTCTTTGGAATAAAAAAACTAATATTAAATTCCGTATATATATTATGTATATACATTGTAAATCACAAATCATTATTTCCAAAGTTTTATGATTTATTTATTTATTTCCACATTATAAATTATGATCCGAAAGTGCTCCTAGTAGCATTTAAGGTGTCTTGGTTTGTTTTTTTTTACTGCATCTTAATTGTAAAAGTATTATAGAATCTACTTAACTCAATCATTTATAGGTATTTACCTAACTCTTTAATCTTTATGTTTTTTTCTGCGAGATTCATGTAATATTTTATCAACAAACGGTACATTCCTATTTTCGTTTGACTTGGTTAATGTTTTTATGGCGTTAATATTTTCTTTAGGATTTTCCAAAAATACTCTTCTGCTTGCCATTTTCAAAAATTATATGGACCTGTAAAAAATAACTTTATTAGATACTATTATTTACTTTTCAGCAAAACAAACATTATAAGTAAATATGCGACATTAACGAAAACATAACAGAAAACTACTGTTAAATAATACGTCGAAAAGAATACAATATCATAATTAAACACAGTCCGATGTAAAGTTTGTAATTAAAACAATACAGTTACGAATTTAAATAAATTTTTTGTTTAACTTTATCTGAAACAGTATACAATTACGGAAATATACTATTACACTGATAAAGATTGCATCAGACACCAGTAAATTTTTTTCACGAAAACTATACAAGTTCAAAATTACATAATTTTAAATAGAAGAATGTTTAAAAATATTATAAGCAAAGTTAAATAAATTCGAAATTATATACTATTAACGAAACACAAAGCTTACCTTCAAGTTGATATTTTGGTTTTGTATACTCTTTAAGCGAAACAGCGTGCGCACTTCTTCAATTCGTGAACACAACTAAAGATTGTACTTTGTACAGTTTTAGGGCGAAAGAGATGCACGATCCTTCCAATTTAAAACTAACCAATGCGCTCCCTAGCGGATATTTCTTGAATTACGATTGATTGTCACTATTCCAGAGAAAATATTGATGATATTGAGCGTTTCTATATACTTAACTCAATTTCGTAAAAATTTGGAGATTGTATACTTTTCATGCGAAGAGGCGATATGTGAATTAACTGGCAACTAATAATGAAAGATGTTGGTTAGTTGGGATTCTGGGTATCCTCTTTTGCCGTATCTAATGACTCCATTTCTTGTACCAGCTAACAATGCAGAGAGGAGTTACAATGAAGCTCATGTGCAAAGTAGGAACTGCATCGAGAGATGTTTTGGATTGCTTAAAACAAGATTTCGATGTTTGTCAAGAGAACACACATCAAGGTACAAACCAGAGTTTGTTTGCAAATTAGTTCGAGTGTGTGCAGCATTGCACAATACGTGCATAGAAGGGGACATAGAAATTGTAGAAGAACTGGAAAATCCTGAGGGAGGTATGGAAGATGGTCCAGCGTACCATGTCCATAATATCCTTGCTGGACAACATATGAGAAATTTTATTGTAACTACTTACTTTCAATAAATTATTTTAATGCCTTTATCTTGTTGTTCGTGTTTAAATTGATTGAAGTACTTGTTGCAGTCTTCTTTGCTATTGTTGTAACTATTTCAAATCAAAATGATTCATAATTTAATTTGAAGCCTTTGCTTCTATACAATATAAACTATTAGACCTGGATCCCACGTACCAAAAAAAATTGAATAATAGCAAGCTGAAAATTGGTTAATGACTTAATGGTGTCTAGTCAGACAAACTTTGATGTACGGGAACACGGGAAGTTTTAATTGAGGAACAGTTTAAAAATTTGGAACGTCTGGTTACGAAAATGTCCCATGTATTTTGTCGGACAGAACATCTAATTGATTTGTTACCCTTTCATTAAACTCTCATGCAAAAATCAGACTGCTTTTACTAACCAACATGATTCCTGTCGTTGACATATTCTTCGTGTTCCACTTGATAAAATGCCTAGTTGATGATAAACACCAGACTAATTTTTGCATGAGAGTTTAATTAATGAAATGGTAACAAATCAATTGAAAGTTGTCCAACTAGACACCGTTAAGCTATTAACAAATTTTCAACTTGCTACTAATCAACTTTTTTTGGTACGCAGGATCCAGGTCTATATGGGTTTCTTGGGATTAGCCCCTGGGATCCATAGTTTGTTTATAAAAGTTTAGTAAAATAAACTTGGAATGTTGGTATGCAATTTTTAATTTTATTTTATTTATTTATGGGCAGGCCCAATTTAAGATAAATAAGAAATTTACAATTTAGAGCAGTGCTATACCAAAACAATAGTTGACTAGTAAATAAAATGAGTAATAAAACCAGTAAACAAATATTTATTCTGTGAACAAACCATCCTGTTAACAATTAAAAGTATATTACATTTTCTCTGCTATAATTTTTAATGAGTCCGCTATAGAACCTAGCTTTTCGTCGATTGAGTTCAGTTTTGTGTCCATCTTTTTTAGTATGTCGATTGTTTGTACATACGTATCTTCAACACTAAATTTCCTTTGTTTCACATAACTGTGTTCAAATGTGGAGATT